ATCAATCGACAACAGGTCGTTAGTCACGAGGAAATTTTTCCTATATAAATGTGCATATTTTCAAAGCAAGCATAAGTTCATCTGTCTGGTGGAAACTGAGAAAGTTCTCTATATGTTGTTCGTATGACCTAATTCAATCTCAAAATATCACTGGTTGCAAGTGATAATCACATAATAAACAAGCTTTGAATTGACAGTGTGATCATAAGCGTATAAAACTCCATCTTTAGCTGGACAATGACAGAGCTAAGAGAAGTAGCTGCACAAGGTGAAATTTAAGGCTCGAATAATAAATTAAATGTCCTCACATTTAATTTACCAGAGCCAGAGTGTACCAAAGTATATCGTCGCAACGTAAAAATGATCCAAGACTGCGCAACAACATATCGTGAATCAGTTCCTGTCGCACCCACAAGTTACGCATGCACACATTCATAAGTAATTTCCTTAATAACAGATTCAAAACATCTCAAAAACATTTTCAGGAACATTCACGGCTGGTGTTTTTCCGCAAATTTGTCCTAGGTATAATGTCTCTTACAAATCTTCGCAAAGGTCTAAGCTACCTTGGACGCGGAGCATAGAAAATATTACAGACAACAGTAATGATATCTAATTATAAAATACCTGAGTCAGATCTCTATGCCTCTTCTCTTTCCTTCTGCTTTCTTTTTGTTTGAGTTCTTCCTAAATGCCTCTTTTGACTCTTAGATGTAGCTCCATTTGAACAGTTAGATTAGGAGCTCGAGATTGCTATCGCGTGATAGTTTAATGATCAGAGCATAACAATGAGAATGACTAAAACACTATCAATTTGCATCTTACCGAGTTAACTCTGTCATATGAAAAATTAAACTCGTACTACCAAACGCATGACTTAAAGCAGAAACTGATTTCACGGAGAAAGTAGCCGTTTCTCACGAAAGTTTCCTGTTTTCAAACTTGATGTTTTTATCCTCAAATTTTGTCTAACATTCTAGAAGATTATTATCTGCTGATAGTCATTTTTCATGATCATCTAAGCAGAACCATAGCAAAATAACTTCACAGAAATTTGCATATTGTAAACTCAAAGATGAATCCTTGAAGTACTTCATCTGCAATCCATGTCTATATTTTAGTTGATTATTTTCTGTCATTTATTTTCTCATCTCTTCAATAATTTCCTCTGTTGTATCCTTCACGTTTGAGATCAGTTGGCGCGGCACTATTTTAAAACTATGTGACAATGCTTTTTAAATATCATTCAGCTGATTGCCCACAAAATGCGCAGTTTTTTATGTACCCAAAAGCAAAACATTAAAAGTAAGTGACGAAGACTGCGACGTCTATCGATAAATCAAGAGTTAGAGAAGAAAACCTTTACTTGAAAGCAAGTCTCTTTTACAATATTTAAAGATTACTTAGAGGATTGAGAAATGCAAAGTTTTACTTTCAGTTTCGTTTGTATAACCTCCCTAAAATTAATTACGGTTTCCTGCATTAGCATGGTGCTGTCGCCAATGTAAATCACAGGACAGCCGTTAAGAACATTTGGTCGCCGCTGTCAAAGTAAAAAAGAGATTTGTCGAAGCATGCAATCAGTATGTAAGCAAAACCTTCCTGACTTTATCAAATGTCGCGAAGGTCGACTATTTGAATAATCACAAAGCCATTCAAGGCTGACAGACTTACAAACTATCCAAAACTTTTTTTCTTGTTGCGAAATGATTCAAAGACATCCAATAAGAATAAAAAAAGACTCAAATGGTTAGAGTCCTATAGCTAAGAAAGGAATTATGTTTGACCATAGTAGTAACACATAGACGATTTCACTTAATTGCTGAAAACAAAGTTTAAAAGCTTTTAGTACTATGATAATCTCAAAACAAACAACTTTGGGGGGAAGTTGAATACCAAAACTTCAATCCAGTTTTGTTCACGATCAAAACGCAAATATCTCTTAAATGTTTATTCCAGCTCTGTTTCAAATGAACTGTACGAGTTTTTATGAATTACTCAATCAAATAGAAAGTGATGACAAACTTAGACTCAGAGCGAAGCCAGTTGACGATAGATGGAGACAGGAACTGCCAAATTAATGGCAGCCACGAGAAAATTTCTTCGGTATACGAACACATTTTCAGAACAAACATACGTTCATTAGTCCGATCGAATCAGAGCGACAAAATATTGCTTTTACCTATTCGCAGTGCTCTATAATAGTCGTGTGAGACTTATTCGATCTCATAAATCAGTGGTTGCAATTGCTTATCGTACAATAAACAAGCTTAAATTAAATGTACAGTATGATCATAAGCGTATAAAACTCCAGTTTATGTTGGTTGATAACAGAACTGAGTGCAACAGCTATACAAGGTGTAATTTAAGGCTCGACTAATAAATCAAGTTTTCCTACAATTTATTTTCCAGAGCCAGAGTGTACCAAAGTATCAAGGCTGACTGAATAAAAAAGTTTTCAAAACCTTTCTTGTTGCTAAATGATTCAAAGAAATCCGATAAACATCAGAATGACGCAACGGATAAAAATCCTTCAGAAGAAAGTAATTGTGTTTCCACTCTAAAAGTTTCAAATAATCAAGTTCCCTAACTGAAGCTAAAGTTAAACGTTTTGTAATGCAATCATCTCAAAACAAACAACTTTGCAGAAAGTTGAATACGAAAAATTTTAATCTAGTTGTACCGAAGATCAAAACTTGAATGCCTCTCAGATTCCTTTTCCACACTTTCCTTGAATGAACCTTGAAAGTTCGTTCAGAACAAATCCATTTAAAAGTGATAACAAAACTGAGAGCCAACCTGTTTCCCGTTTGCTGATCAGTCGACAACAGATCGAGACAGAAACGGCCGAATTTAACGTTGGCCACGAGGATATTTTTTCTGTATGTACATGTACACATTTTCAAAGCAAGCGTCTGTTATTCTTCCAGTCAAATCAGAGATCAAATGTTACTTTTTCCTTTTCTATGTGCTCTATAACGGTCGTACAGGGTTGTTTCAATTTCAGAATATCACTGGTTGATAATCGCATAATAACTCAGTAAGCTGTCAAAGTACAGTATGATCATAAGTGTATTGAACTCCAGCTTAAGTTTAACAATGACAGAACCAAGTAAAATAGCGATAAAATGTTTCATTTAAGGCTCGAATATTAAAAAAAGTTTTCTCACCTTTCATCTACCAGGGTCACTGTGTACCAAAGTATAGTTGGAAGGTGGAAATGCTCTCTGACAATAACGTACCGTGAGTAAGTTCATGTAGCACTCACAAGTCATGCATGAATGCCATCATAAGCAATTTCCATGGTAAAAGATACACAACATTTCGAAAGAATTTTCTAGAACACTCACGGCTGATGTTTTTCCGCGAGCTTGAACAAGCTACTATTTGTTTTGCAAATCACTCCAAACGAGTTGTTCTCCGGGGGGTTGACAAGTTTCGTTCTGGTTTTTAAAACGCCAGAATTCAGAATCCATGGGTGTAAAAGCGGACTGCAACGAGGTGAAAAGCAAATAAGGCATTCTTTTCGGGATGAAGCTCTGCGAGATCCTCCCAACAAAAATTATGATTCACGTGAGAGACCGTTTGGAAGAAACGGATTAGCATGAAAGCAATCAAAAGCCTTCCTATGTAACAGATCGATCGAAAGTATCGGTGCATTGTACGGATAAAAACCTCTAAATAATGGATTCAAGCGGTTTGCGCAAGGTTTTCCTGAAATTGCAAATTGTTGCGAAGGCACGAATAAACGATGGTTTTTGCTACATCGGTTGGGATCTTGACCGATATAAATTGGCGAGGCCATTATTACGACTAGACAATCCTCGCTGATCATCGAAAGATGATAAACTTAGGGTTGGAGAAACGCATTTATTCAAAGTAGTCAGCTTTCAACCTGCATGAAAGCGGTCCTTAGCCTCATTGCACCGACGATGTTCACGTGAAACACTACGAACGCTGTCAACACGAGGCGGACAAAGTCTATGAAGGTGAATTGTTCACAATTTAATTGACAAAGAGCCACGGAACTGTAAAAAAGGTCTTTGGCAATATGGATCCAATCAACTGGAAACTTTTCTTCGAACGTACCCGATGCCCATCTGATTGCCCTTTGATTCAGGAGGGTCTCGATGGGGTTAACCGTTAGCCGTAAAACGGCCAAAATATTTAGCCGTTACACGTAAAAATTGACAAATTTTAACCGTTAGTCGTAAAAAAAGTTAACCGTAAAAAATATGTCTGGTGGAAGCAATGGAAAGGTGTTAACCGTTAGCTGGAAATTGGCCAAAATTTTAACCGATAGTCGTACGAGCCATCACCCCATTGAGACCCTCATTCAGAGGCATCAATTTTGTCGAAATCCCCGTTGGGCTGAAAACAAAACTTGGAATCCAAATATTGCCCCAAGCAACTGCAAAACTCACCAAAATTTGCTTGTCAAACCTGATCCAAAAATAGAACTTGTTATACTGAAAAGCAGATATAACGTGACCTTTTTTTATTAGTCTAAAATCAAAGATATAAGTGTATAAATCAAACAAAAAAATTCAAAACTTTAAATCTTTCTACTTTTACACGAATATATTTTCAAAGGCTTTAACATTTTTTTCCAGTCCAATAATTTGTTGTGTTCGTCTTCGATATGTAAACTCACGAGAACTTGGTCAAAGACTTTTTCCCTCTGATGGTTTGAGGAGCCCACGCAATGCTGTTATCTCCTCTTTCGTGGCCACTTTTACTGGATAACGCCAAAAAAGAGCGTAGTGATATCTTGGTTGAGCTTTCTTGCTTGGCACCCTAAAATTTACTGGCTCCCAGTCTTTCTTGCGCGGCCGAGGGTTTCGCGAGAGATTAGCACTACATTAACAAAGGGAACGATGGGAAACTAAAGAAAATCTTTTTAACACGCGAACCTCTCGAGCACCACCTAAATATCTCAAATAAGAGAGATAACTGAGAGCGAGTCAGCCTCAGAATGGCATGGAATCATTCGCACTTTCCTAGCAGACAACATCATTTATACCCAGTGCGGGGCGAGTTACTAACGGGTCCATTCTTCCATCATACAAACCGAACACAACTGTTGGAAAATAAGACACACCCTATCAGACGTGTGCGAAACTCGCATAACAATGTTACAAATCAGGTCACGCCATTTTCAAAGGATAGGTAATACCATTTTCTGAGCAAATATATGACCTTTTATCACCTGTGGATGTTGTCGTATTCAGTCTTCCATCAAAAGATATATGTTATCAGAAGTTTTGGTGTGTAGTATCGGTTACTATTTTTACGAGTTGTGGCATATTTTGACGATCCCGCAAGGCGAGTCAAAATACAAACTATGAGTAAATATACCCAGCGATACCACACACCAAAATGTCTAATAAGTTATTTATTGCCCAGCTGCTTTATTTCATGGGCATTTTTTAAAGTGGGAAAAGCGACGCAGATAGAAAAGTGCAGCACGCGCAGCCAACCGATTAAACAATTTTTTTTTACAGTACAAAATAACCAAATGGACAATATCACAGGAAATTTTTACTCGAATCGCACGTTATTTGTACTCTTCTAGGTGCAAATGAATAATAATGAGCAATTACTTAATGAGGTTAAGCATAATATCATATTTTATCAATGCCGGGGTCTGAGTTATCCGCCGAAGCCGAAGGCCGAGGCAGATAACACAGATGCCAGGTTTAATAATTTACAATATCATGCTAAAAACCAAATTCAATAACTGATTCATCATACATTTTTGGAAACAATTTGCAAAAGAAGAATCTTCTCTCTGATTTTGCAAGAGTTTGAGAACACTACACGGACGAGGGGCTTGGAAACTAGGCATAATTTAAACGCGACATGAGAACCCAATATCTGCTATTGGATATCGACTGTATCCTATCGACCAATCAGAGTCCTCACAGTCAGTCTAATGTATAATATTTTGCTTCCACGCGAAAGAAAGTACATGCTACATGCAACTGTAGTACAAGTTACGAACCACTGATACTTCTACTAGGGATCAAAAATGGGGTCTCAAGTGGTAAAATTTCCGCACAGCCCCATACTACATTATGCATTCAGTTCTTGACTAAGAAAACAGATTTGTTTTACAATAGTTTGGGGCTGTACGGAAACTTTACCTCTCAAGTTTGCAATTTACGTACCAGGTTGAGAAAAATATCATGATATACACAATTAAGCCAGCACAACCACGCATGAGCAGAATATCATTTGCAGGGAAAAACGCAGTTCTAAGGGATTACCTTTGAGAAACCATTATTTTCAAGTTATGTGGGCTCTTAGCCAAAGGGAAGGAAGGAGGTATGGTATTTATCAAATGATGATGTTGAAAAATTGTACTCACCAGTATGAATATAAAGTATTCTGTGACCCTTAAATCGCCCTAGGTTGGTGTTCATCTCGTGTAGCATTCCTCTGATGGCTTTGACGTTGTACACGGGGTCCACCATAATACCAGTTGTTCTGGATATCTCCACAATGTCCTCTTCATTAACCGATAAAAAGATTTCAGGGTTCGTAAGGTGCAAATTCGAATGTAAATGGTTAAGAAAAATTTAGATCATGTTTTCATTTGGTAATCAAGCAATTTCGAATGCATCCTGGAATAAATAAACAATAAATTTTAATCATTGTAGCTATAATTATCCATTATTATTGTCTTGCATAAACCTGTAGTATATGGGGGGGGGAGAATGGGGGCAGGTAAACTTTGTGGTTTGGAACATCATTGGGTGATCATTCCTTCTACATTGTAAACAAATACACTGATCCCTTGTTATCAGAGCACATGTCATTTTAACTTTTAGCAATAAAATTTCAGATTTAGCTCGCACTGAATTAAATCAAAATACTGTCCGCCAAAGAGCATTCTGAAAACAAATTTTCCACGCTTAACATTAGTAAAGGAACAAGAGGCAGTGAGAGGCATGATTTCTTACGTTTTCATGTTTTGAAAAGATTGTTTACTGATAGATAGAAACAACTCTCTTCAACTTGCATTTCATTCCAGTACCAAAATAAGCAGGTTATCATGTAACATATGTAGAAGACTACAAGAAATCCATCCTTTTGGGCAAAGTCTATGAAAGTTGCGTGACTCAAAAAAAAAAAAGATCAGTGAAAAAAAGGTAAGTGCGCTGCTAGGAGCTTACGTCAACCTTTTTCATTGTTTTTTTTTCTTTTTGCCCAACAGACTTCTCTGAAAAAGGAGGGACTGCTTGACTACTAGTCCTATTATGAAGAAAGCAAAATCTGCAAAATAACTCTTCTTCAGTGGATTTGCCATAGCCCTTTCCCTTGTATCCATCTATAATATCAATTATTTCTTCTGCTAGAACATTTAGCCCACCTATTTGAAGGTCTTCATTGATTTTCTGGTAAAAATATGCTGCATCATCACACACATTCACTGCATGACATCTATGAATAAATGACAATGATGTTACTATTACAGGTCTCAATAGGTCTCCAGTGTTCAAAGAAAACAAGGGGAAATTTTTAGAAAGATAGAAAGGCCTGTGAGAAATTCTCATGAAGCACAATCTCTTTGGCTTAAATCTTCAGCATGTATAGCTTAGGTAGTTGCAGAAATTTTTTAACAGCCTATAGGTTGGTAAGCTTTTTCATAATGTTCCCCAGCATGATATAGTTTTTCAGGGGTTCCTGAAAGGTGATACAGCATTTCAGTGGCAACAATAACAAAAAACTCCAATGTGATTAGTTATCACCAGCCCAATTTAAGCACTAATAGGACACTGCATGTGTCATGCCTCTTACTGAACAGTGTAACAGGACAGTTGACATGTCATGCCTATGAGTGGACAGCATGTGTCATGTGCACACCCTGTTACAAAAACGCATAACCAATACATCTGGTTTCTTTCTCAAATTTTGTCATAGTTTTGATTAATTGGTAACAGGATTTTGTGTTAACATTAACATATCGGACTCCCACTTCAGAGTCATCTAATTATATTAATCACTCGTAAGATTACAGACTGAATTGAATTCCACTCAGTCCTATTTTTATTATTATTATTATTATTATTATTATTATTATTATTATCATTATTATTTATCCTAAGACCAGTTAATCCCTGGGTGTAAATTCAATGAAAAAAACATTGTAAAGATCAAATCCTTTAGATGAAGAAAAGCAATTTTTTATAGTGACAGTGGTGCCATAAATAACTACAGAGCTCTATATATGGTATCCGCGGGTTTCGCCCATAACGAGTTTCGCCCAAGAAGCGTTTCGCCCATAACGAGAATGGTTTCGCCCAGGCATAAATTCGATTCGTGCGGCGTGCGGATCTTAACTTCCGTGTACAAAAGATTTGCAACGATGATATGTTCCACGCGCAAGTGTTTTCAAAAGCGTTTAATTTAATTCTCGAGAAGAAAAGTGATGCAAAAAAAATCATAGCAATGCTTTTACGACAAACGGACGTCTCTGCAGTATTTCGTGCGCGAATTACCTTAACAATCCCCGCTCCACAGTGAAAGCTATAATTGACTTGTTCGTTTCAACAGTAACTTGTTCGTTTCAAAATTTCATGATCTCAGGTCATGTCACTTTTCTTCTTTCTGTGCATACAAACGTTTATAAGGTTGACGTTTTCCGAGTGAGAGTGTAGAAGTTTTACTTATGGGCGAAACCATTCTCGTTCTGGGCGAAACCATTCTCGTTCTGGGCGAAACGATATGTGCGAAACTCGTTATGGGCGAAACCCGCTATAACCCTATATATGGCCTCCTGAGATGCAAACAGCAAAAAGAAAGAAGACAAAGAGTGCTGGTCAAATGATAAAATCCCTAATGACTAAGTGAAGACAGGCAAGATTGGGAAAAATTTGGCCTCTGGGCATAATGAACAGATTGGTCAGAGAGAGGTCTATATGTTATGACCTTGAGACAAATATTTTCTTGTCCAACCCTCCCATACAGTCAATAAAAAAATATCAATATTTCTATTTAGAGCATACTTGAGTTTTGATCCTGTTAAATAGTTACCAATGGCAATTCCTGATGCACTTCCACCACTGCCAACTGTAACAACAATGTCATAAAAATTCTCCAGCACATTCTGAAACAAACAAAGCCAACATTTTGAAAGATATTCAGAAAAAAAAATTTTTTAACAAACAGGCCTTTGTATGATCAGTGTTTAACTGCATTCATGACTTCTTGACCAAAAATGCACAAAATGAGCACACAATACAGAAAAAGCTTGTAATTTTACCTGATCTATCATTTCTTGAAATGTTGTTAAGTAACCAAACATCTCCATGTAAGAGGAGCCTCTAACTTCAATCAGATAAGCTGATGAGCCCTGTTCCTTCCTGAAGAAAAAGCAGACAAAGTCACCAGGAAGGAACTAGGTCAAAAATAACTTAGCCCATCAAAACTTAGTTCAAGAATTCTCCAATATCTGCTGCCTTCTTTACTCACTGTATAATAATTATAATAACAAATCTCTTGAGTTTTCTTGGCATTTCCCCAAAGTCATATGACAGAACAGAATCTATTGGTCTCCTGTGTGGGTTATATAACCTCCTGGCCAACAAGAAATTTGGAATCACTTTAAAATAGGGAACCCGAAGGAAAGATTTAACTCCATTACAAATGAATTCATCTCATCTTCGTATGAGTCCACTATTCAATGCAATGTGAGGAGCTTCTATTTCACAAACAGATTCCATCTTTGCAAATAAAAAAAAACAAAGATTGTAAGTTTTGAGCTTGGCAAAGAAATATAGAAAGATGCTTTTCATCTTGTTGTGAGCGTGGTAAAAGAAAAATTTCTGAGATTACATGTTGTTGTGTGTTTGTTAAGTTATCGTTAGTGATAGATCACATTGGCATCACTCTTTGTCTGATTGCCAATAACATGTGCTTAGGGGTAACAGATCTTTGATCATGACTCAAGCAGCTTAAAATCTTCTGCATCAGTTCTTTCTTAAAAAGTTTAAAGTAAATTAAATACCTGCCTGTTCAGGACTTCTTAAGAACAGGTAACAATCCAAACCAAGTTGTCTCGCAGCAACTGCAGTGCTTCTGCAATGATTGGACTGGATTCCAACACATGTAAATATTGTGTCACACTTCTTATCCAGACTGCATCAGCCAACAAAAACTCCAGCTTACAAACCTAAAATAGCATTGCCATAGTCAAATGAGACAAGCACAATTTAAGGTTTAACTCAGCAGTTGAGGATGCACTTAACCCTTTACACACTCAAATCAGTTTACATATTCTCCATACTGTTCTGTATACATTTCCTAAGGTGCTGGCAAGGAGAATTTGTCTAACAATCAAGAGCTTCTTAAGTGGGTGATCATTTTCTTTATTCCCATAACCTTAATATGTGATCAAGGCATGATTTGTAAGAAGAAATTAGACACCAGTCACTCAAAGGGTTAGTAAGAAAAAGATATGAGATGACTTTGACCACAGGTACAGACACAATTGAAGCTACGCATTTCCATATAATTATGGTCATTTTACTCAGATGATTGCAAAGTTAAATTATATTATTGTCATTTGCATTAGAACTGCTATACTCTCTTTTGCATTTGTTTTAGCATAACATCAGCTTCCACATTGCAATATTTTCAAACAATAGTGCTCATACACAGATTTTCATTGCTCACATGCAAAATTCTAAGTTGAACCATCTTCAGCTGTCTCTTGATTGAGACCCTCAGCTATACAAAAAATATCATAAGCTGTAAAGACTTAAATTTGAGAGAATAAAAAAACTTGAAAACCAAAGTAGCAGTCACTAAAAAAATGTCTGTACTCTCAAAAAGGCTGGCAAAAATGTAACTACTGTGAGCTTCCTCTCTCTTTGGTGTGAGCAGTTTAATTAGTAAATAACATAATTATTATTTATTCAAATGAATGCTACCCTTGCATTTAATGCAGCATGATGATGTGATCAATGCTTCAATCACAGTTGGAAATTTTGAGTGAATCAGACACATCCTTTTGAATGTACCAGTTCTGATGCAAAATTGGGAATTTTAGAATGATATAAACAATACTCTTAGACAAGCACTAAAACATTTTTCTGTTTTTAAAATTAAAATGGTCAGTTACCATACTATTGTTTGCAAGAAACAAATTGGATAATTAATAAACACTGCCCTTGTATAAATGTCGCTGTAGAATAAACACCACCCTAGAATAAATGCCAAACTCGAATCATGAAAAATTTAATAAACCCCACTGTGTTTGAATAAAATTAATATGGCATGTGTCATCTTCCACTGACTAGCACAGTCAGTGGATGCCAAACAAACTGTTGTCTTGTTTTCCTACTGAACTTAAAAAAGAGTACTTCTTTAAACTACAGGCATTCCAAATAAATTGTGCAACCTCTTGCTGGATCTCCTGTGGCTGCACCAACCTCATCGTACTAAGCTCACTTATTGTTGATGAAGTTAA